GCCCATGATATCAATACTGTAATATTACGTTAAACGATAAGATATATCGATATTTCAATATTTTTGCACATTCCTATTCCACAATGTGACATTAAACAGCTCTACCTTACATTTATTCAATTACAGGTGGGTTTACAGCTCAAAAATACCTAGATAAATAGGCATTCTGACTGTGAGCGGGGTCGCTTCTCCACAGATCTGACCTGTAACTTGGTCTGGTTTGGTCTGCATGACGATAGAAAGGTTTATTGCCATACTGTGAAACATTCCAGACAACATTTCCATGAAGAAAAGCATTTGACTGACCCTCCAGCAGAAAAGTTACACAATGTACCTTTAAGTGTTATTTTATCTGGTAATAAGTTACAAACAAACCGCCCTGATTACAGTATTTGGCGTCGCCATAGCTACACAGACGGGATGTATAAGTAGTGAGTATATGAATGACCTGGGACTGGGTCAGTACAGTGTGTAAAAGCTTTCACATGCTCCATTATAGAGTCAATATTTACCATAACGGTGAAGATGGATCTGTATTGACGAGAACCGTTCAGTGGCACGAGGTTAATATCACGTTTTCTGCTTGTCCTGCGCTTGGAAATTGATTTAAAATGGAAGACGAGACCACAGATATAACACTGATGTGAATGTTACAGCGAGTGTACAGTGCATTATGTAACTTTAATGGTGGCACGTATGGCAACTTCTCGTCCCCATGGAGATGTCAATGCTTGGCCTGAAATGTTCCACAGTGTGACATTGAACTTATCTGACTCCGTGGAGATAAGTTTCAGGGCAGATATGTGGAGAGGGTAGCCAACTCGAGGTATGAAAGCAAGTTTTATTTGCTAAAAAAACATGCATTCAAACACCTATTGTTACTGAATACACAAGACGAGTTTAATGCCATACTGTGGAATATTCCAGGTACAGTACATGCATCTTCATGGAGATATCACAAGCAGGTTACAGAAAAGTAGCATGGTTCACCTTTTTTTTTGAAGAAAGTGTTCTGGTGGAGGATCTGGCATTTGCTTGTTTCCATGGAAATGTTACTGCTCTGCCTGGAATGTTCCGCACAATGGCATTAAACTGATCTATTTCCATGGAAACGAGCAAATGACGCCACTTGGCCAAGTTGAAGGTCAGATGTGTGGAAGGCAAACGCTCACAAAAAGAATGCTGGTTGTTTTTTTTAAAGGTATTTTGAGCAATAAAACACCCCATGAATAAATAAAATAAAACAAAATAACAAAACAAATAAATTAATTAATTAATTAAATTAAAATTAAAATAATAAAAAATTATATTAAAATAAAAAATAAAACTAAAATCAAAATAATAAATTTAATATAAAAAATAAAAAATTAAGTAAAATAAAATACAAATTAATAAACAAATTAAAATGAAAAAAAAAGTATATATGAAAATTTTTTAAAATAAATAATAATAAAATAAAAATAAAATAAATGCAAGGTGGATGTATTTAATGCCATACTCTTGAACATTCGAGGTGAAGCAATAATATCTCAGTGGAGACAAACAGGAACCAGAGCCTCCACCAAAAGTTCCATCGTTCACCTTTAAATGCCAAATGCCTCATATTTATCGATTATTTGAATTTTCCCTGATGTTTTTTGAGATCACATGACTTTACTGCACAGTGAAGAGGGACCCACAGAAACACAGTCCCTGGAAACCTAAACCTCAGAGACAAAGCAGTGTCTGATCTATAGAGGCACATCTCTTTATACGACTGTTGCTATGGAAAAAACACCGGGACATTTTCACTGTCTGTAGTAAACTTTAATCAGACCTGCACTGTGACGAAGTTTGTGGGAACTCTGCTGGACCAGGGATTGATTTAGGGCCGTTAAATGAAGAGGAAGAGGAGAGGGAGCTGATGAGAGGCCTTGGGTACCTTTTTTTTTTTCCAACAAAATCAAAGAATCAATTGTGTAACGAATAGGGCTGCGCTGATTTTATTTTTATTTTGTTTTCTAGTAATCGCCTACTCAAACAATTAATTTGAAAACTGCAAAAACAAATATGCCAAATTCCGTGAATGTCTTTTTTTATTTAAGTGCAAGAGGTCGGCAGTTCATGTAGGAACAAAGTGCTTCTGCCACATTTAAGATGACAAAAAATCTCATATTACATAAATAATAATTTAACTGTAAAATAAAAGAAATTATACATATTTCCTTCTTTTCATTTATAAATAAAACATCTCAACTCAAGCTGATCTTTGCATTAATTCTGTTATCCAGACCATAACCAGAACCATGAGCTCCTTCAGCAGAAGAAGCTCAGGATGTTTTTAACAGATCCATGTTATTATCCAGCAGTGAGGAGCTCTGAGGTTTAATCCCACAATCCACTGCAGATCAAACCCAACGATTCCAAACACTATTGTACAAGTGACACTGCAACAGATTATTAATTAAAATCTTCTGCATAAATCAACTTTACATTACTAAACTTAACAACATTTAAAACGACTCTAGAGCCACATCAGCCCATTTGAGATTATAATGTGTTTAATTCAGTTTTGCGCACATGTGTTTTACGTTTAAGAAAAATGAAACTTAAAAGCGCACAGCTAATTTGCAAAAAACGGCGTGCTCCTTGTGCTGCTGATGCGGTTCAGCTTCTTTCGGACTAAAGGACACGACTCTGTGGAATATGAGTGTTCTCTTTGTGACAAAGGATGTGCTGCTGATGTTCTTGTCTGTAAATGGTGGAAAAGTTTCGTGGTGCTAGAAGCTTTTCACTAGCACCAACTTTCGGTGTTCACGGCGGTAGTGAGGAGTGAATGAGACACAAGCAGCAAAATGAGAGACCTGAACATGAGATGTTTTATCTGCTAAAAGAAAATAAAAAGTCCAGTCTTTCCTTAACCAAATTAAAAAATATTATTGATAGAGAAAAGATTTTTATACGAGATCATTGCTGTCTTAAATTCCAATCCAATCCAATCCAATCCAATCCACTTTATTTATATAGCACATTTCACAAACAAACTGTTTCCAAAGTGCTGCACAAATACATAAAAAATAACAACAATAAGATGATAAAGTAAATTACTAAAATAATACTAGTCTTAAAGTAATAAAACTAGTAAAATAATATAAAACCAGTAAAATAAAAATAAAACTATATCATAGAATAGAAATAAATAAACCAATAAATAAATTAAATCAGTAAAACCAATAAAAACACATAAAAATAAATAAAAGACACAGAGGACCACACAACTCACGCGGTGTTAAAAGCCAGAGAATAAAAGTGGGTCTTCAGACGAGATTTAAAACTTATTTTAATTATGTTCACATACTGTTAGTGTCATATTGTTTAGACCTGGTTTAGACATGGTTTTAGTCCTAGTTTAGACCTGGTTTAGTCCTGGTTTAGACATGGTTTTAGTCCTAGTTTAGACCTGGTTTAGTCCTGGTTTAGACATGGTTTTAGTCCTAGTTTAGACGTGGTTTAGTCCTGACGGGACAATACCGCCATGTAATCCATTTATTTCAACAAAGTAACTGTAATCCAATTACCACTCACTGAAACAGTAACTGTAACTGAATACAGTTACTCATAATTTGTACTCTGATTATGTAACTCCGGTACATGTAATCTGTTACTCCCCTACACTGGATATATATGATATGTCAGAATCCATATTGAGTTTAAAAAATATCTCGATATATTTAAAATATCGAGATTTCGCCCACCCCTTGCTCAAATATTGCCAAGGTTCACAAAGAACTTTAAAATCCATTGATATTTTCCCAGTCAAAAAGTTTTGTTATTTTCCATTTTGAAGTCCACCCTTGGGCTTGTAACATCTTCCATGAGACCTGCTCTTTCTTTCTTCCTTTCTTCTTATTTGTCCCAGTTGTGTCACAAGCTCAAACCGATTCAAACTTTTGGCTGTAGGTATTTCCCATCATTTTCCCGTCCGCTGTCGTCAGGTGGTTGTGTGGAAGATCAAGGCCTGAGTTTAAGTTTCTTCCAGTGAAAAGACTTGGTTTCTGGGACAAAGAGATGGGACTTCCCCGGTTTGGGCTGAGGGCACAGTGTGGGTAATGATCCACTGAATACAGAGCCTCGGCCCTTTCATTTGGGCCTGTGAAGAAGAAAAAAAAACAGCTTTTATACTTTATGCAGCAAGTTTGGGCTTTGAATTCACAGCAACATGGAGGGGAAAGTACAGATTTAACTGTTTTTTAAGAGTTTGAGGTGTAAGTTAAAGTTGCACCGTGTAACTTTTCTGGTGTTTGTCTCTGTTATGTCACAGCTTTACCTGGATTGTTCTTCAGTATTGTATCACATATATCTTTCTTGCATTTTATTTTATTTTATTTTTTTATTTGAAAATATCTAAATAAACCTGCAAATTTGCCATAATCTTGTCTCCATAAGGGTAAGTTTAATGCCATGCTGTGGAACATTCCTGGCAAAGCAATAACCTCAATTAAGACCAGCAGATGGTGTGGCGGATCCTCTTCCAGAAAAGTTACACAGTGCACCTTTAAACAGTATTAGGCTGTAACTGTAGACTGTAGACTGTAATTATTGACCTCAATGGAGAGTTATTGCTTTAGCCTGAATTTTCCACATTGCGGCATTAAACTTATCTATTTCCATGGAGACAAGATGGCACCACAAGACCGAGTTGCAAGTCAGATCTGTGGAAGGGTGCCTCTCATAGTAAAAGTGCCAGATTTTCCAGAAGAATTTCTCCAGAAGAATTAAGTAAACTTTAGGTAGATTTGTGTTTAATGCCATACTGTGGAACATTTTAAGGCAAAGCTAAGACATGGAGTCAAGCGGTTGGCCGACCCTACATTAGAAAAGCTGCATTTTGCACATTTAACCCTTCAACAAACCATTTTAGCAATTCAAATTCTGCCAACTTGGGTTTTTCAAAAAAAATGTTATATGAATTTTGTTAAATCTAAGCTTTAAGTTTCTTTTTTTTTTCTTTTCCCTTCCAGGCTCCACGTACAGCGTTCTGTCCACGATGCCGTCAGACTCTGAAAGCAGCAGCTCCCTCAGCAGTTTAGGTGAGTCTCTCCAGAGTCACAGGTGTTAGTGATACATGAACATATCAACAAATAAACACTGAATGAGGCCACGTTTGTATGATGACGGTCTGAACAGAAGACGCAAAAGTGGCGTCGCGTCTTCACTTTTTATTTCGCGTTTAGATAAGTGTTTTCAGGAGGAAGTTTGCGTGCATACGGTGACGCAAAAGTGTGTGGAATTCGATTCTGTTTACATGCCAGGCGGCCAGGTGGTGACGCTCGGTGGTGACGTAAACATGTACGCGACGTGAGCAGATCTGACCAGAGTTTTGCGTCTTGGGCAGTGTAGACGGAAACACTACGGAGGAGCGTAGTTTCACTCTGGAGGGTAGTTTCAGATTTTTGTGTTTTTAAACCCCAAAAACGCTGTCACCGTCTAAACAAAAGACACTTCTGATAAAATATTTTGATGTTTTCACCCGCAAGTGTTCTCGTGTAAACAGTAATAAGATCGATAAACAAAAATAACTGCTTAAATTTTCATCAGATTTTTAAATCAAATTTTAAACAGTTTTTGAAATATATATTGTTTCTATTTTAGTTTATCTGCACTTTCTGATTTTTCCCAATGTAGTCGAACAAAATCATACTGCTGCCTGCATCTGATCAGAAAGTGCACGGTTGGCATACTAGTTGCGGTTAGTATTACCGTGGAGGCTGCTCTGAATGCATGAGGTGAGGAAGTGAGGAACAACTTTGGACCACTGCGAATTATTTAAAATGAATTAGTTCTGTTATTTTTTTCACATTTTGAAGACTAAAAAAATCAGGTAGCATTTTTAAATCGGTTCACACTGGGCTGAAATGAATGAAAACCTGTATATTTCAAGATAAAATTCTTTTATAGAGGAGTTTCAGTGTGTTTTAATACAAAATTGGTATCACCCCCCACTAACACGTGTTTACAAAGACTTTTCTATTTTCTACCCAGAACCAAAACAAAGCACCTTCTTGTTTTGAACTCTTACTGGTGTTAAAATAGAGTTAGTCCGTCCCAGAACAGAGCAGACCACATGCTAGTGATTATACAGGGGGATTTAGACATGCTACTCCACACATGAGCTACACAGGCTTTAAGTTTACTACTGACATCTGATGATTACTTCATTTTGCATTTTTGATAGTTATAAGCAAGAATTCCTACCTTTTTAAAACAAGATGTAGGTTAAGGATTTATCAATATTCTCTGGTCTTTTAATGGTACGCTTATATGTACTTTTACAGCAAAACAAAATGTATATAATTAATCCAAACTTATTTTTCGGTTTCATATGTTTTTATTCATGTGTAAACAGATAGAGATATGTCATTGAAACAACACATGTACACACACTTTTTTTTTAATTTTTATGCAGATAAAACATAACTTAAAAAACGTAACTAACAAAAAAACAAATCACTCAAGAAATATGAGTAGTGTCATACAGTATAATGATAGAAAGGTAATAAATATACTGCTGCTTTTATGAATAACAAAAAATAGAATAATAATAAAAAAATGTAAATAAATAAATAATAAATATTTATAAATAATAATAGGAACAAAATACATAAATGCATAAATACATAAAAAAATAAAAAAATAAATAAAAAGATAACATAAAGGGGGGGTTATGGTGGGGGGTAGGGTTGGCTTAGACTCTTTCAAAAAAGTCAATAAATGGTTGCTACTTTCTAAAAAATGTGTTTGTTACCTTTCTTGGAGCACCTAATCTCTACTTTCAAAACGGACGCAACTTCATTAAATATACTTAATTTTGTCAGCTAAATTATTATTTCTCTGCGCTGAGACATTTAGACATTTATTTTTAACTTTGACAGTGAAATAGGCAAGTTTAAATTAGTTATTTGAAAAGATTTAATGTGGTTACATGACATTTTGGACTGTACCAAATGGTAAAGATTTTACATTTTTAAAACCTAAACAAAAACAGCTTAGCCCCTTTCAATCACACAGGGGAACATAAGGGACATCAAGTCATATTAAGTTAAATCGGAGGCTTAAAGGTGCACTGTGTAACTTTTCTGGTCTGTCTCCTGCTTGTCTCTATGAAGATGTTATTGGTTTGCCTGTAATGTTACACAGTCTGGCATTAAACATCTATTTAGCTTCAATAACATCTGCAGCCTTTTACCATCTAAAAAACATAGCGAAAATCAAAGGTTTACTGTCTAAATCAGACTTGGAGAAACTTATCCATGTGTTTGTCTCCAGTAGATTAGATACTGTAATGTTCTGCTCACTGGTCTCTCCAAACGAGCTGTGAGACGCTGCAGAACATCCAGAACGCTGCAGCTCGGGTCCTGACTCGAACTAGGAAGTACGAGCACATAAGTCCTGGTCTCAGGTCTCTGCACTGGCTCCTGTGCCTCAGAGACTTTAAAGCAGCTCTGCTTGTACAAGTGTCTCCATGGCCGAGCACCAAAGTCCATCTGTGACATGTTAGTGTCATATGAACCATCTCACACTCTGAGGAGCTCAGGGACCAACTCCTGCTGGTGCCCAGAGTCACGACTAAACAAGGGGAGTCAGAGTTTCAGGTTCATGCAGCTAAAACCTGGAACAGTCTGAACATGTGAGACAGACTCTTCTGTGACGCTGTTTAAATCCAGACTCAAAACATTTCTGTTTAACTGTGCATATAACTGAAAGGTTTTCATTCCGCACTCTTCTCTCTTTATTCTTCTTTTTAAAAAATTTTAATCTTCATGATTATTTATGTTTTGATTTGTTTTTATTATGATTTTAATGTATTTCTTATTCTGTAAAGCACTTTGAATTACTTTGTGTACGAATTGTGCTGTACAAATAAACTTGCCTTGCCTTGCCTTTATTTTATCAAATTTTAATTGGGGAAAAAAAAAAAAAAAAGTTGAAAACATGCATTCACACTTAGGGCTGGGGATCATTAAGAAATTGCTGATGCGATACATAGTCCACGATACATATATAAATACAGTTCACTTTCGATACGATATATTTCAAATCGATTCGATACAGTTCAATAAAAATAAAGGCTAAATCATGTCTGTGATACTAAAAGTGTTTGTTAAACCACTGTCTTGTGCAAAGTTTGTATGAAATGCAAACATTTTAATCATCAAAACAGTGAAAATGTCAAATGAGTTGCATAATTGAGTTTCCTTCCACTACACAAACAACAAAACTGTATCACTGTAACATAATATTTTAGTAAAATGTACCAAAAAATACTCTTGGTGATATATCGATACAGCAGCCCACAATATCGATACTGTATCATCACATTAAACGATGCGGTATATTGGTATTATTGATATTCATATTTTTACTAGGGTTGCCTTTTCACAGATCTGACCTGTAACTTGGGCTGGTGATGTCTCCATGGAGATTCATCTGTTTATTGCCACACTGTAGTAGAACTTTCCAGCCCAAGCTCTAACATCTCCGTACATACAAACAGGTGTACGTCCGCACTGCCCTATGCCCCGTTGACATGCTGACTGCTGCAGGTACCCCGGCCCCAGCCTCGTCTCCGCCGCCCGCGCTCCTGGAGGGCCCCCTGGTGGTCAGCGAGAAGATGGAGACCGTCCTGTTCCAGCTACGACAGGTGACGAGAGAGCGAGACGAACTACGCAAACGGCTGGCCCTGTCCTCGCCGGGGACCACCTTCGACGACTGCAGGTAACGCGACGTGAAAGCTGTCAAAACTGATCCATTTTTGAGATCAGTTGTTTTTTTTATAGTTTTGTATTCTATTGAAATTAAATCCAACCACCACAAAATACTCACCTTTTGAGTGACGGTAAAAGGAGAGTCATAAAAGTAACTATGGTTCTATGAAGTAGGGATAAAATACGGTGTGTAATAGAACAGCTTTTTGTGATGTTGATCTCATTTGTCCAGTAGAGATACATCATAGAAAAGGTCTCAGTGTTAGTCTGATGTTTCTAATGTCTAATGTCATGTTTCTAAAATCTGAAGATTCGCCTGCTGTTCCTCAGGCGTAGTGGAGTTCTGTGAGCTATAGTTAAACTGTGGCTATAAAAAGTTTGACATTTTAGTAACAGATGTATATTTTCTTCCATAGAATTCTGTTCAGATGTCCCTATTTACCCGGGACAGTCCCAGTTTTGAGCTCCGTGTCCCCTGTCCCAGTAGATTTATACAAAACCACTGATTTGTCCCAGTTTTATTCAAGAAATGTCCCAGGTGTCCCTATTTTTGACAAGTCTGATCCCTGCCAACAGTGATTTATAGTAACAGTAATTGCCATTTGTTCAGGTAAAATGCAGATGGTTAGTAAATGCTTAAAAATCACCAAAACACAAAGAAAATTTTATTTGTGTACTTTTTAACACGTTGACAGTGACATCCAGCCAATCCTGTTCACTGCCTTATCTTTAAATATTTATTTATTTTAGCATGACTCTGCAAAAACCTCAGAGATAAAATTGGACGGGAAGTAGTGTTGCTAACAGTGAGGTTGTCTGGCGCTATTGTGCAAACAGTGTTGGGGAGTAACAGATTACATGTACCGGAGTTACGTAATCAGAGTACAAGTTATGAGTAACTGTATTCAGTTACAGTTACTGTTTCAGTGAGTGGTAATTGGATTACAGTTACTTTGTTGAAATAAATGGATTACACGTGGTATTTTCCTGTTTTCACATTTTGGGCTAAATCCCCCCCCCCAAACCAGGTCTAAACCAGGTCTAAACCCAGGTCTAAACCCAGGTCTAAACCCAGGACTAAACCCAGGACTAAACCCGGACTAAACCAGGACTAAACCCAGTACTAAACCCAGTACTAAACCCAGGACTAAACCCGGAACCAAACCCGGAACCAAACCCGGAACCAAACCCGGAACCAAACCCGGAACCAAACCCAGGACCAAACCCAGGACCAAACCCAGGACCAAACCCAGGACCAAACCCAGGACCAAACCCAGGACTAAACCCTAACCCTAGGACTAAACCCAGGACTAAACCCAGGTCTAAACCCAGGACTAAACCCAGGACTAAACCCAGGACTAAACCCAGGACTAAACCCAGGACTAAACCAGGACTAAACCCAGGTCTAAACCCAGGTCTAAACCCAGGTCTAAACCCAGGACTAAACCCAGGACTAAACCCAGGACTAAACCCAGGTCTAAACCCAGGTCTAAACCCAGGACTAAACCCAGGACTAAACCCAGGACTAAACCAGGACTTAAACCCAGAAAACCAGGTCTAAACCCAGGTCTAAACCCAGGACTAAACCCAGGACTAAACCAGGACTAAAACAGGACTAAACCATGTCGCTGTCTTTTAGCAGACAAAACATCTCATGTGAAAATCGTAGTCTTTGCTTTTCTACAGCAAATCAAGTAATCCGAAAGTATTGAGATTACGTTACTCACTTTAAGTAATTTAATGGATTACGTTACAAACTACATTTAGGGGTATGTAATCTGTAATCTGTAGGGGAATACATTTTAAAAGTCACCTTCCCAACACTGTGTGCACAGAGCCTCAACTCAAATTCAGTTTTTTCTTGCAGTAAACTTTGCAGCTCGAGCTTGAATTAATGACTGGACACAGACAATTTATGTGCACATTTCATTTTTTGCGGTTATGTAATGTTTTGTTTTGTTTTCTTCAGACCAAACTCCAAAACGGGCCACGATTACGAGCGTCTGAAGCTGCAGTGCATGAAGGCCATGGCTGATCTCCAGTCTCTTCAGAACCAGCACAGCAGCACTTTGAAACGCTGCGAGGAGGCCGTGAAGAAGGCAGATTTTTACCAGTGAGTAGAGACCCTCCTACTCCATTACACCCTCTCGTTTTGTTTTAATGCAGCCATATTTACTCCATTTTCTGATCTGTTATAATGTTGTTTCCTCATCACAAACAGATCTGGAGTTGTTTTGTTTCTTTCACTCATGTTTAACACACAAACCCTGCATATTTAGACTGTGTGCTTCTAAAATTGTAAAAGAATATACAATCGTTTTAATAATTTCAGCTCTGGAATTTAAGGTAAAAAGTAGCTTGAAAACTACTGCTTCATGACATCACAATTAGAGCTCTTTATCATTAAGAAGTTGCCGATACGATAGGGATGTAACGATAACCGAAATATCGTGATATTGTATCGCCAAAAGTCTCACAATAATATCGTGGCTGTCACAGTATATCGAATTCCAAGTTTCTCTGCTTAAATGCATTGTTTCATCGGGAACTACATATCCCATGATTCATTTCAGCGCTGACAACATGAAGTACAGTGAACCCTCGTTTATCGCGGGGGATACGTTCCAAAAATAACCCGCAATAGGTGAAATCCGCGAAGTAGTCAGCTTTATTTTTTACTGTGATTTTACAATGCAATACTGAACTGCAGAATGAAACAAAAAATAAAACCTCTTTTCAGGCCCAACATGTGTTAAAGAAATAGAAATATTAACGTTTTCTTACAAATAACTATAATAGTTTAAAGAACGGTGTTGTAAAACAATATTTTTATATAGTAATGAATACAAGGTAGGAAACAGATAACGTACAGATAACGTTGGTATCCAGTGTAATGCTATTTTTCCTGCAGTCATTAATCCACAAAGCTAAAGCAGATTCCATCCTTACGATGGCCTTGTTGCGGACTGTCACAACTCTTTTTGCATCCTTGTTAAAGCTTATTGCTGCTGTCGTCCTTATATTATTTTCCTCCTTCTTTATGTAACGAACCGAAGATTCATTTATTCTGTAATGGCGCCCTACAGCCGCATAGCTTTTACCTTCCTTCAGCATGTCCAGAAGTTTAACTTTTTCTGCAATAGTTAGCATCTTCCGCGGCCTCTTTGGCGGCAGTCACAGAACGTTTCTTTGACATTGTGGGTTTTGTCACGGAGAAAAATTGCGAACGTAAATTTGGCAGAATGTACAGAAACGAAAACTGTTGGCATGGGTGTAATGAAAAAACCAAATATAAACCTTTTTCACTTCTAGACAACAGTAACGCCCCTAAGCCAATCAGGATTCACTGTAAAAAATAAAGCACTGTAAAAAATTCCGCGAAGCAGCGAGGTCGCGATAGGTGAAGCGCGATATAGCGAGGGATCACTGTAATATGTTTTTTCCTTGAATTCTTGGGATTATGACAGAAATAATTCACACCAAAATCTTGTCAAAGTATTTTAAAAGCAAAAAAAGTGTCCTATCTACAATTTATATCAGCCTCTCCAAAATATCGCAATAAATATCGTAACGTGAGATGAATATCGCGATAATAATACTGAGAGATTTGGATATCGTTACATCTCTCTGATACGATGCATACCTCAATACACAGGCCATGATACTTGATCTCGATACAGTGCACTTTTGATTCGGTATGATTATATTTCAGATTGATTCGATATGGTTCAATAAAAAATAAAATCTAAATCATGGCTCTGATACTAAAAGTCTTTGTTAAACCAAGGCACCTGCTCTGTCTGCCTCTAATCAACTCCAGTCTCTACTATTGGTTGGTGTGTTTTACTTAAAGGTCGTACCCTGTTTTTAACTAAGCCCTGATGAAGACCAGTTTGGTTGAAACATGTTGGCTCTGGCCATTCAAATAAAAGCCTTTTAACTATATTTTTCCTCGTGTGACTTTTACTTCTTTGGCGTGCCTGGATTCCGTCGTGTTTAAAGTTTTGATCCTTTTTCCAAGACCTGCTCTCACTGATTGGAACACCTGCAGCAACATTTTAGTGTTTTCTTTCTTAAACCACTTCTTGAAAGTTCATATGAAACACAAACGTTTTAATCATCAAAACCGTGAAAATGTCAAATGTGTCGCACAAATGTGTTTCCTTCCACTGAACAAGCAACAAAACTGTAGCGCTGTAACAAAATTATTTAGTAAAATATACCAAAAAATACTCTTGGCGATGCATCAGCAAACGATATCGATACTGTATCATCACACTAAACGATACGATGTATTGATATTTTAATATTTTTTTCCTAATCACAAGGTGGAACAGAGTATTTTGCTTTGGTGATGTTGCTCAAGAGTTACTCAAAAAGTGTGAATGAAACAAAACACAACTCCAGGTCTGTTTCTGATGACAACAAGATTATAACAAGGCTTAAAGCTCACTCCGATTTTGTGTAATTTAGGTCCTTTGAATACTAGGATTCATTTCAAAATTCAGATTTCGAACTTGTATTAGTACTTTTTGTCAATTCTCCTGTACAAGAATTGTATTTCAGAACATTTTTGTGCAGGGTTAACCGTTTTTTATGCAGAGTAAGACCGGATATTTTGTTGTTTGTGGTGAAAATTATGGTGCTTCAAAAACTGCAGCCTTTGCGATTTGCTGATGGCAGTTTTGATTTGATTGCGATTAATGCCGTACCCCTTAAAACCCTCTCCCCCTCCTCCTCTTCCACAATTCCACCACAAACAACAAAATCTCCAGTCTTATTCGCCATAAAAACTGCTATCTCTGTACTGACGTGTTCTGAAATGTGACTCCTGTATCAGCCTGTCAGTTCAGGTTTCAGTCTTTCTTTATTAAAACGTAAATCACGTGTCTAATTGTAGTGTTTGTCAGATAAATTGTTGTTTTCCCCAAATAGTTCAGCCCAGCCACTCCCCGCTGCTTCATCTCCTGCTTCATCTAATACGAGAATTTCAGGACTTGTTTTGTACACATCGAAACTAAAGATTAACAGTTTTTATACAGAATAAGACTGGAGATTTTGTTTGTGAGATAATTATGGTTCTTAAACGGACCATATTAGAGTGTTTTGTGATCTATGGTAAAATGTTTTAGATGTTTCCTCATCACAAACAGACCTGGAGTTGTGTTTTGTTTCATTTTAAACCACAGTTTTTAAACTCCATACACCTTTACTTGAATCATTTGGATAATTTCAGCCCTGGAATGGCCAATCTCCACTCAATTGAAGGTAAATGGAGCTGTTAACCTGAAAACTATTACTACATGACATCACAAGGGGGAACAGAGCATTTTCAGCTTTGGAGATTTAGACAGACTAATAATAATTACTCAGACATTAGTGAATGAAACAAAACACAACTCCAGGTTTGTTTTTGAGGAGGTAATAACATTATAACGTGACTTAAAAGCTCACAAGAGTCAACTTTGCATACCGTATTTTTCAGACTATAAATCACTCAGAGTATAAGTCGCACCAGCCAAAAAATGCATAATGAAGAAGAAAAAAACATATACACATTCGGGGGAAATTTATTTTATAAAATCAGAGACCAGGAACAGACATTTCATCTTGAAGTTCTAGTAAAACAATAGAAGAGAGAACAACAGACTGTTAACGTCACATATGAACAGTTCTTCAGATAAACTATAACATAAACAACAGAACAGAACAAGTTTAACAAACTCTCCATCTCACTCCAAATCACTAAATCAGGGGTGTCCAGACTTTTTTCATCAACGGCCACATTTCTAAACACAGACGAAGCAGAGGGCTGATCGAGGGCCGTAGACTGGTGCTCAGTACAGTGAATAATTGAAATAAATGCATGTTTAACACGTTAGAATGAGCCATCAGTCTTTATTTAGGATAAGCTCTTTAAAATCACACACTTAATGTTAAATATTAGACTTTATCAAAAAACTTGCAATAAAAAGTACATTTTTAATTGATGGGTCAATTCTGAGGGCCAAAAAAAAAATTGTCAGAGGGCTGCATTTGGCTCACGGGACGTAGTTTGGACATGCCTGCACTAAATCCATTCAATTCTTCATCCTCTGTGTCACTTCTGAGCAACTCCACAACCTCCGGAGGTAAACAGAGCGCCGCTTCCTCTTCTGTGTCGCTGTCGTCAGACTCAGCATCAGTTCCAGTTACAATTATTCTGACCTTTCTGAATCCCGACAGGATGGTTTCGGTTGTCATTGATGTCACTTAAATTTTTAATTATCGTTGGTATTGGAAGTAATGTCGCGACCGACTGACACGATACAGACACGACAGAGGCTCTTTCTGCAGGAGACATGTGCAGTAGAGCCAAGTGACAGTGGTGCAGGAGGAACAGGAGCAGCAGATACTCACACACAAGACTAGAACCTCTCGACGCTTCAGTGTGAACATTTTAACATATAAATCAGAGTATAAGTCACTGGAAACACCCAAACCATGAAAAAAAGTGTGTCCGAAAAACCAGTAAGATAGGACCTTTTTAAATTGCTATTTCACTTCAATTCGCGAATAATCTTGCGTCTTTACTCCCTACCAGCGTCTCCCTCTCTGTCACCATCCCCCATCTAAAAACATCATCTCGAAGTGAAGCCCCTCGTCAATATTTCAGCAGCTTTTGTCCTTGCGTTGGGTTCGCTGACATGTTCACGCCAGATCGCATCCACCAGATTTCACTTTTAGTCACAAGAGCAATGGGATTAAACATTTATAACCCCCTCCAAAGCTGTTATACCAGGCCTGTCTGTTTGTTACATATGAAACTAAATATGGGTTTCCTCATCACAAACAGACCTGGAGTTGTGTTTTGTTTCATTCACACTTGTTTAACGCACAAATCCTGCATATTTGGGCTGAGTCCTTCACTAGAAGCATTTGGACAATTTCAGTCCTGGAATTTCCAATCTCTACTCAACAAAATGCGCAAGGCTGTTAACTTGTAAACTGCTACTGCATGACATCACAAGGTGGAACAGTAGTGTTGTAGTCAAGAGCGCGCTAATCGAGACCAAGACCAGGACAAGACCGAGACGTCTGAGGATCAAGACTGAGACGAGACTGAGATTTTTG